AAAAAAATTTGGTCAAAAAAATTTTGGCCTAAAAAAATTTGGGAAAAAAATTTTTGGTCAAAAAAAATTTGACAAAAAATTTTGGCTCAAAAAAATTTTGACCGAAAAAATTTTGGCCTAAAAAATTTTGACCAAAAAGATTTGGTCAACAAATTTTTAGTCAAAAAAAATTTTGGCCCAAAAAAATTTTGACCCAAAAAATTTTGACCCAAAAAATTTTGAATCAAAAAAATTTGGTCAAAAAAATTTTGGCCTAAAAAATTTTGGTCAAAAAAATTTTGTCCCGAAAAAATTTGGGAAAAAAATTTTTGGTCAAAAAAAATTTTGACCCAAAAAATTTTGGCTCAAAAAAATTTTGACCGAAAAAATTTTGGCCAAAAAAATTTTGGCCCAAAAAAATTTGGTCAAAAAATTTTTGGTCAAAAAAAATTTTGGCCCAAAAAAATTTTGACCCAAAAAATTTTGGTCAAAAATATTTTGGTCAAAAAATTTTGGCCAAAAAAATTTTGACTCAAAAAAATTTGGTCAAAAAAATTTTGACCCAAAAAATTTTGACTCAACAAAATTTGGTCAAAAAAATTTTAGTCAAAAAAATTTTCAGAAAAAAATTTTAGGTCAAAAAAATTTTGGTCAAAAAATTTTTCGAAAAAAAAATTTTGGTCCAAAAAATTTTGGTCCAAAAAATTTTTGGTCAAAAAAATTTTGGTCAAAAAAAATTTTGATCCAAAAAATTTTGGCTCAAAAAAATTTTGACCGAAAAAATTTTGACCAAAAAAATTTTGGCCCAAAAAAATTTGGTCAAAAAATTTTTGGTCAAAAAAAATTTTGGCCCAAAAAAATTTTGACCCAAAAAATTTTGGCCCAAAAAATTTTGACCCAAAAAATTTTAGGTCAAAAAAATTTTGGCCGAAAAAATTTTGGGAAAAAAATTTGTGAAAAAAATTTTGGTCAAAAAAATTTTGGGAAAATAATTTTGATCAATAAAATTTTTGGTCAAAAAAATTTCGGGAAAAATTTTTTTGGTCAAACAAATTGGGAGAAAAAAATTTGGTGACCGAAGTTTTAATACCCGCAAAGGCGCATGCATTATAGATATTGAAAAATATTGAAAGATGGAATGAAAAAATAAGGTGCAGTTTAAACAAGTCTATATATTCTATATATTAATATATATATATATATATATATATATATATATATATATATAATAAATCTATACAACATATTATTAATTCAATTAAATTTAAAAACATGTATTTCCATGTACAACAATATGGATTACCTTTTATAAGTGGTGAAAACTGGCTGCTCTTGGCAATTGGACGGTTATCGCCCAACTGGACCCCCTCACCGCGATAAGGTGTCAGCCACGAGGGGGAGGATTCGCTCTGAGATCGACAAAGACTTTGAAATCCGGTTTTCCAAAGTCCGACATATGGCACGATCGCCGAATTCACGCTGCGATCGCTAGTCGACTGACTCTGGACCCGGTCTTCCAAAGTCGACGAACGCAAACGCTTCTCACTCGCTCACACGCACTCAAACACACCATGCGCATGCAACATGCAACACACACAAAGCTGACAGCCCCAATCTGTCAGTACGCCCCAATAGCCGCAGGCAACGGGAGAAGATAGAGGCACCATACCGTTATCTCCCGAGTCTGCGATCACAAAAATCAAGATGAGACGATCGGTTCTGCTCTAGCGGACCTCGAGGCACGGTGCTAACGAGAGGCCTGACAGAAGTGATTGATACTCACTTGACATTAAACTGGTCACTGGGACTCTTAGACACCCGAGTTTTGCAACTAAAATGCGTCGAATCGGCTGTTGGGTCGATGTTTCGTAGTCGAGCTCGCAATATTTCGAAGCGTGCGAAACATGACCAAAAAAGTCAAGTCGCCAGGCGCCATCTATCGCCATATGCATATGCAAACTTTGAACACATTTTTTGGTATGTATTAATGCGCTTAATTTTTTTATTTTATATTTTTTCAACACCATGTTTGTAATTTTGATGAAAATATCAAAAAGTTCCACATGAGACGACCCAATCAAATTCTGCTCCTGGCAGAAGCAAGTGATTGCTCATTTGAACAAAATGAAACCCAACAAAAAGTTGAGTCGACTCTCAGTACATAGTACTAAGTGCAATGAAACATGATGAAGATTGATAAATATTTATATAAAGCCCAGTGTAATATTTTATGCATTACTACCTAGTAAGTATTTTTGCAATTTATGTATGGTATTTAAGGAAATTTTAATAATCTAGTTACATATCAATATCAATAATGTTGACAATAAGTGAAAAAAAGGAAAACAAAAAAACACTATTCGCTCAATTATAACTTATAACTAAGATAACACTAAAGCTTAATACTAACTAAAATATATTATTATGAATAGGTGTAACTATATCTTTTCCAAATAGTACTCCTCTATCAGGTGGTTTGGCAAAGCGTATTTGCCGTACCATATCATGTCTGTTGTAATTCTTCCTAGGCTTTTTATGATTGGATTTGGACTGTGTTTGCAATTTTCGAAGAATTTTGCCACCATGTTGAGTATGGTCTCTTTAAAAAATTGCAGATTGGATTTTTCATGAAGATACTTACTAGATTTGTAGTGTCTGGTGACTGGATCTCTCTGCACATTTAGTATTAATCGTAATACTTTATTTTGTAATATTTGCAGTTTATGAATGTTACTTTTACATGTAGTGACCCAAATTTGTGCCGCATAGGTGATTATTGGTCTTATTAATGTGAGATATATGGTCCTCTTATTTTTTGAGTTCAGAACACTGTTTCGATGTAGTAGTCATTTTAGTGCGTTCATGTGCAATGAAACAGCTGCTAGGTCGTTATTTCATAATCACCCTTGCAGTATTTTGAAGCGTGTGCTGTATGCATAAATGCCGAATGCATTTTTGTTTGGCGCCACCTCGTTATGTTTAATAATAACCGGAAAAAAATTTTAGTAAAAAAAATTTTGGGAAAAAAATTTTGGGAAAAAAATTTTGGAAAAAAAATTTTGGGCCAAAAAAATTTTGGGAAAAAAATTTTTGGTCAAAAAAATTTTGGGAAATAAATTTTTGGCCACAAAAATTGGTAGAAAATATTTTTGCTCAAAAAAATTTTGGGAATAAAATTTTTGGTCAAAAAAATTGGGAGAAAAAATTTTTTTCCAAAAAAAATTTTGGTCAAAAAAATTTTGGAAAAAAAATTTGGTCAAAAAAATTTTGGGAAAAAAATTTTTGGTCAAAAAAATTTTGAAAAAAAAATTTTTGGCCAAAAAAATTGGTAGAAAATATTTTTGCTCAAAAAAATTTTGGGAATAAAATTTTTGGTCAAAAAAATTGGGAGAAAAATTTTTTTTCCAAAAAAAATTTTAGTCAAAAAAATTTTGGAAAAAAAATTTGGTCAAAAAAATTTTGGAAAAAAAATTTTTGGTCAAAAAAATTGGGAGAAAAAATTTGTGGACAAAAAATTTTTTTCTCAAAAAAATTCTTGGTAAAAAACTTTTTGGTCTAAAAATTGGAAGAAAAAATTTTGGGACAAAAATTTTTTTTCTCAAAAAAATTTTGGGAAAAAAATTTTGGTCAAAAAAATTTTGGGAAAAAAATTTTTGGTCGAAAAAATTTGTGGTGGTGGGTAATAATAGTCAGCTTTACAAAACATATCAATGCGAAAATAGGACAGGCTTACGGGATGTTAAATCTACTGAGACCTCTCTTGAACCACAACAGCCCGCTAAGCGTGAAGAACAAGCGGACACTTGACTTGACACTAATAAGACCGTTACTGACATACGCCGCTTCAGCATGGAACGCGACTACTAAGATCAACTTACGGAAACTAAAGACATTACAAAGTAAGACACTACGATTAGTATTTAACAAAATAAGGGACCCACTGACTAGACATTACTACTCTTCAAAATACATACACAAACAGACTGACGTACCGACAATACTCGACTATATAAAAAAGCTCACCAAAATTTTTTATCTAAAATGCGGGGATCATCCTAATACTAACATCGCGGGCCTCGGCCAATACACTAGAGACGTAATTTGGTATGGCAATCACGCCATGCCAAACTATATACTGATCGACCCATAGCGGCAAATGATACTTGGCTCGACACAGATTTTCCTTCAGTGCGAATAAATCTATTATTTTGTTATTCTTTTTTTGTATAATTATGTGTTATTATAAATATTGCTTTGTGGCTTTTTTTGAGGAAAAGTATTCTTTCCTCTTTTTTTGCCAAACAATTTGTCACGCATCTCGCTGTATTCACAATCAATATTCACTGTATATATTAAGATCAAATATGATGTATAAAGTGCCCACGGGTAGGCAAATATGTATAAAAAAAAGTATGTGCCCACGTAATTTTCTTTGGTTTTAACAACATGTTTGTAATTTTGATGAAAATATGTTTTGTACACGTATATTTTGTCCTCGTTTCATTTACTCAAATTAATCAGGTTCATCTTTTTTATTTGTACTACTTATATTGAATTATTTCATATACCACGTCACCAATAAGATTTGTATAAAAATGACCGTGATCATGTCATTGGATTCAGCACAAAATCAGAAAAGAAATTGGGAAAAAAAAAATTTATAGTGTTTGATTGTTTGAACTATTCGCCTTACGCCAGGATCTCATTATTTACAGTTCAGTGTTTTCACCTCAAAGTTCAGCAAATTAATAACGATTATGTATATCTTTATTTACAAACATGGCGTCCTCATGTAGTTAGTTACGATACAGCATAGACTAACTAATATTTAGATTCAATCTGGCGCGAATATTTTATATTTTTGTTTTATTTATATACTGCTTGATTATTTATTGATTTGATTATTTATGAATTTATTTAATCGAGAAAACGTTCAATTCAACGTTCAAAATTTAATCCATTTTAAATAAATTCATAGATACTTTTAATGATGTATAATAATTTATACATGTTTAAACTTTTTTTTATATTATCGAAATATAAAACAATTTATTTCAATATTATCGTTACAAATATATAAATAATTTCTTATATTCAAGAATGACATCTGTATTTATAATACCAATTACTTATATCCACCTTTTCTGAAGGTTGCATGCAGCGCTGCAGCCACGTAGATTTTATGTAACATTATCAGGTGTGCAAATTAGTGTTTTTAAAAGTTTATATCGAAACCTGATAATTCATCAGGTGGAAATTCTCTGTTCTTCGGGAATTTGTCAAAGTTTCTCATATCTGTTGAATTTTCTACTGTGCGGACCAGTGGCGCAGGCATTTCTTGAGATTTGAGACTCACCCAGTCGAATGAAACTGATGAATACCATCTAAATAGATAATTGAAGTATAGAGTAAATTTTGAACTCAATAGAAATAAATAATTGCTTATTCAGCTACATTTTTACGCTTTAAAATTTGAATTCCTAATAATACTGTAATGTAAGTTATATTAGGTTGTCAAATATCTCCCTTCCGCTTTTTCGCTCTTGGTTTATAATACAAAAAGGCGGAAGGGAGATATTTGACAACCTTATATGTAGATTTAGGTCAGAGAATTTGGAAAAAATAATATTCATTCCTTATTAATTTTTAGCAAATTTTAATTTTAATTCAGACTTTATCACTTTCGTGAAAGATAAACATAATCCACAGTCTAGTTAAAGAGGTATAATGATACTCACGAATGGTTTTTAACATCCTGCAATCCATTTTTTTGATATCCTAGTCTCTCCGCAGGTGCAGGTCTACAGAGTTTTCTAATCAACTCTTGGGCTTTTCTGCTAACCTGCAACAATAAACGAGTAAAATAAATTAGTAAACATTTACCATAGCTAATTAATATTTAGTGTTGCATTATTACTTTTCCAGGCATTTGAACATGATCGATTCCTTTCAATATTTGATGGTACGTTTTCATGTTGTCAGAACCACGGAAAGGTGGCTTTCCTACAAGCAGCTCATGAATTAAAATACCAACAGCCCAATAATCAACGGCTCTATCATGACCTCTATTCTGAATAACCTGAGGAAAAAATACCAATAAATCATAAAGAGTAAAGACATTTTTCATTTTATATATGCGAATTCTGAGAACAAAGTATTAAAAAATATATTATAATTATTAACTTCCCGAAGGGGAAGTTTACGTTTTCATAAAAAAAACGTATTCGCTAATTATATGTTTTCTCGACGTTTCTCAAAAACAGCCGGACCAATTTCAAAAATTTAAAAACCATTCGATGTATCTCGATGAGGACTAGCGTTCCTCAGTTTTGTGCGACGATCGGCCGAGCCGTTTCTTTGTAAATCGCAGAAAAGTGAAAAAATTTTTGTCCACGTTTCGTCCACATTTTGAAAATTTAAAATTTAAAAACTGAAAGATATTGCTTGGGAATCGCGCTGATTAGTTTTTGGTAGAGATCGATATTAGTTAGGAATGATACTGATTAGTTTTAGGTGAAAGTATACCGAGCCGCTTTCTTGTAATTAACTGTAAATTAAGATTCAAGCCGATTTTTATAAAACTTTTTTTGATATATATTATGGTCTCATAGAGCTTACTGTAATATTAAAAGGCCTTACGACAAGTCGTTTAATTTTCATCAAAGTTTGAGAAAATTAGTAGTTTTTTTGACGTTTGTTAAAATTAAAATTAGACGATTTACTTGGTATAACGATAGAGTACTTGGTCTTAATGAACATATTGAACCATTAAAGTCCTGCGAAAACTGAAATTTTTCGAAAATTTGCTTTTAGTTAGTCCGAGTTAACGTGTTTGTTTGTTTTCAAATATTTGTAATAAATCTACTCGGAATATTTTTAATCACTCATAAATTAATTTATTTTTTATTGATTAAGCCGATTATTTACACATATCGGGAAGTCCATGTAACTTGCCTCAAGGCAAAATACCAATACCAACTAGTTCTAGTTCAAGTTAGGAATGGCAAAATATAATATTGTGAATTAAAGTTGTTTTAAGTACCTCGGGCGCCACGTACTCTGGAGTACCGGCAAATGTCCAAGCTTTTTTGCCTGGATCCACACGTTTGGCAAATCCAAAGTCGACCTATAAGTAAAAAATCCAAGATGTTGTGGTCTAGTCAATTTATTATTTTTTTATTAATTAATTTCAGTGCAATCAATAATCTTCATTTTATTTATATTGTTGGATAGAATTACCAGTTTGATGTATCCTTTAGTATCTAGCATGAGATTTTCAGGTTTTAAATCACGGAAGATCATATTTTTGTCGTGTAAATATTCGAAAGCTTCAATAACACAAGCGGTTATAAATCTAGAAGTTTTCTCATCAAAACATTTTGCTTTATGCAACGCCGTCCAGACATCACCTCCCAGACATGCTTCCATTAGGAAATATAAGTATTTGGTATCTTTATATGTGTTGTATAATCTGCAGAAAAGGGAAACAATCCAATCAGAAATGATTTTATTGATAAACCAAATTTAAAAATTTTTTAGTTTGATTTATTAGAAAAAAAAAGATTTTTAACTGATCAGAAACAGGTTTTTTATATTCCAATTCCACTATGACAGGGATAATTGCACTTTTCCTGTAGCAAATATTTCGCAAAACCACAAATATTTGCTACAATCAATAAAAGTAGCGCTTGAATGGTGCAAAACTATTAAAATACCTGCATATAAATGGGCTGTCACAACTAGCCATAACATGCTTCTCATTGTAAACGTGCTGCTGTTGTTGCTGCTGAACAATATCAACTTTCTGGAGACATTTTAGAGCAAATGTCTTGTCTGGTGTGGATGGATGACTGACCAGTTCCACGCGACCAAATCCGCCAACGCCCAAAGTACCAATTATTTCCAGTTCATTGAGGCGAATATGTGCATAATCTACTTATAGGGAAAAATTATAAAAAAACTAAAAATTTTAAACAATTTATATTATTAGTGATACGCTCGAAATTTTCTCAAAAGAGTATATAGACTAAAAAAATCGTTTCCTTCACTCCACCGTAAAACTTTAAACGCGTTTTTCTCGAATCTGACCTTTTTCGACACTATACCCACGATTTCTCTAATTCTACTAGACCGATTTACTTAAAATTTTTACGGTGTTTTTTTATAGACCTGCCTCCAGTATGATTTATGCTCATCCTCAAATTCCCATATAAAATATTTTTAAAAAATTCGAGAATATAAATAAAATTGTAGAGATATTTCGTAATTTATAATTGTAGGTATATGTAGGTATATGTAGATAATATAATTGTAGGTATCATTTCGTAATTTTTTCTAATTTGTCCGTATCCAATTACGACATCATTCTAGATCAAGAATACATATAACTTCATGCCAATTTTGCACTTCTAGAATTAAAACTTTAATAACACAGGCCAACAAAATTTTTGTTTGTTTGGTTCATCAAATGTTAGAGCTGATTCTCATAGTATTTTTTGCGCTGATTTCAAATTTTTTGCAAACCATTTTTTTGTATCAGCTCTAGTTTGGAACTTGAAAAGAAGTTGCCGAAACCAGGTCCATTCTAGGTCGTCACGGAAAAGAATTTTTCACAGTGTCAACCAATGTCCCAACTAAGGCCGAATGGGTCTTGTAAGTTTGTATGCACGAGTAGGCATACATAGGAAGGCCAAAACCTTCAAAAACGCTAAATTGAAGGTCTTGTTCGCAGAGGATTCGTGCGAAACTCAAGAAGATCTTGTTTCAAAATTAGGAGTTACCCATCAAGCCATTTCCAAGCTATTGCATGCGTTGGGGATGATTTAGAAGCAAGAAACTTCGGTTCCTTGTGAGTTGAAGCCAAGAGACGTCGAGCGTCGTTTTTTCGCCTGTGAACAACTGCTCCAGGGGCGAGAAAAGAAGAGGTTCTTCATCACATCGTGACAGGTGATAAAAAATGAATACATTACAGCAATCCAAAGAGGAGAAAATCTTGGTTCGGCCGAATATTCACTGCGAAGGTTATGCTCTACATATGGTGGGACTAGGTTGGTGTTATTTGTTATGAGCTGTTGAAACCGAGCGAAACCATCACTGGAGAAATGTATCGAACTCAATTGATGCAATTTTTTTATAATAAAGTTACATTTTCATCGAAAAAACAGCGAGAACTTAGTTGCGCACCTAATATATCATATATATCATATCTTGAAAACTAAAGCTCTTAGAAAAAAACCAATGTCATTTTTGAAATCAGCGCCCCAAATATACTTAAAAACAGCATTAAAATCGTTTGCACCATTTTCTTTGTTGGCCTGTGTAATATTCAAATTTTTTATTTTTATTATGTATTTTAAAATCATTAATTAATACCTCTGAAAAAAAAAGTATAGCAGAAATATTGTTTGCCACTTTTTAAGGCCTTTTAAAAATCGCATAAAGTTCATGTCATAGACCAGAATACCCCCAAAGTTTTTTTTTCTAAATATGAAGTTCAAAATGATTAAGGTAAAGTTCTACATAGACTTTCTAGAAAATTTTTAGTTTCTAGAATAAACTGCCGATTTGCCTGCTGCATAAAAAATATATAATATGAAAAAATATACCTTTATTAATAATTTTGTTCGCAGTAACGACTGCAGCTGCTCCAGCACCGGGATAAGTTTTTTCTTTCAAATCTTTGATATTGCCTAATAACTCGATAAATGCGCTAATAAATAAATAAAGTTAATTAAAAATATAAATATGCAAATTTTCAAGTAAATATGATAAATGTTTTAATACAAAACTTACGTTCTATCGAGAGTTAAGCATTCTGTACCAGGTGGTAAGGCAGTAACAGTTGCCAGTCTTACGCTTTCATGAATCAAAGCCTAGAAATTGAATTTTTCATATATAATTAGCTAAAAAACAATATTAACAAAGAAAATGTAAATAACTATGAATTATTAATGAGGTATCCATGGTTGACGAATATATTTGTCCTGGATAAATGGCAAAAAGTTTAATACGTATTTGATATATGATTATGCTAACCAAAAAAATAAAAATTAGCAAAAATGTTTTGCAATTTTGTAAAGTGAACGGTTTTAGCTATTATTATTAGCATCTGCTGAAACTGCAACTTAATTTATATCTGATTGAAGAACATACACAGCATTGCTCAATTCTTTCGAGACAAAACTGTTAATTGGTTTAAATGATGCAAAAATTACATTCTGAAACATGTGTCTCGTAATTTTGAATAATTTACACAGATTAACGGTTTTCTAAACTATTATTATTATTTTATTCATTAATTATTTTTAATATTTTTTGCAATTTATTATTATTAATTTCCAGAAGAGTAAGCTATTGTAATCGTCCAAAACTCGAAAATGAATTATTTTGCATATCTTTACATTTCAGAGGTTTCTCTGGATACAATTTTTCGTCGACGGTTTCGGGCGTACGGATCAACCAATGTATATGATTCGAAAAGCAATCGATTCCTATTGATAGGGAAACGCGTGATTGGTTTTTGGCAAAGGCAGGTCCAGCAGTTACGAAGATACTGGGGAAAGAGTGCAGGAAATAGAAATTAAGTTTTTGAGAGAACAGAGCATCCAATTGAATGATTCATAAAACATCTTACTTGTAATAACGAAATGAAGAATTTAATTTTTGCGAAGGCAGTTCTAGCGGTTTACGGGTTACAGAAAAAAAGTTTAAAATTGACATTTGACTGTCAAAAATGATCATGACATTTATAGAGGGGACAATAGTAATAAGTATAATAATAATAATAAATAAGATAAACTAGTGGCGTGTGGCATTTTGCCTTAAGGCAAATTGATGAAACTTTCCCTACCGTAATGAAATATTCAAGGAATATTAAATGTTTTCAAATAGATTATTAGAAGAATTATATAAACTGAATTGCAAAGTGATCGTTAGAACTTAAACCAGAATTAAAATTAAAATCTGAATTATTTCTGACATACAAAAAAAAAATAGAAAAAAAATTGAAAGAATTTTTTTAATTCCAAAAGCAATTGTTTTGTCAACACAAGCAGAAAGTTTTTTGAATCATTCAAATCGGATGCTTAGTTCTCTTAAAAACTGCCATTTTTTGTACATTTAGCTCTGTATCTCCGAAATTGCTGGACCTGCCTTTGCCAAAAACTAATCACCACTTCTTTCAATCATTACAAATTGGATGTTTTTTAAATCATTCAAATCGGATACTCCGTTCTCTCGATTTCTACTTTCGGCACTCTTTGATCCGTATCTCCGTAACGGTAGGACTTGCTTTCATCAAAAACTAATCAGCACATCCTTCTATCAATAGAAATCGAATGTTTATTGAACCATTCAAATCGATCTATCCGTGCGCCCGAAAATGTAGACGAAAAAATGAGGACATACAAAACACACACACACACACACCATCATCAATTTTTTCTGAGGTAAGCCAAAATGTTCAGAAACCTATGAAACGTGAAGATATGCAAAAATTTTCATTCTAGATAGTCGGGCTATTACTATAACTTACCCTATGGGTAGTTAAGATGAAGTTAATAAGAAACTACATGCATTTTTCAATTTTGGTGTTACAAAACTCGAGATGACTTAATTTTTGCTAATCGAACAAATAAACGCCTCGCACGTGAAGTTAATTAAAAACTGATTATATAGATTATATTTAAATTACCTGTTCTCCAAAATAATCGCCCCTGTTAAGAATACCAGCAGGAGCATCAGCCTCTAAATCGGACTCCCGGCGAGTGACTTCGACGCTTCCACCACGAATAATATAAAATTTGTCACCAGGTTCTCCTTGACGAACTATGGCAGTACCAGTTTGATAAAATTCCTACTCGAGAGAAAAAATGTAAAGTTTTTCGCTGATAAAAAGTAATTGAATTTATTATGATAATATAAACAGGAAAGCGATAAAGAGAGCAAAGCTGAAACTTGACAATTTTTGCAAACGATTTTGATATACACATTGGGAAACTGATTAGAACAAACAACTATCGAAGTATGTTCAGTCAAATTTTCAGTTAATTCCTAACTAGAGAAATATTTTTTCCTAAGATCTTTCTAAAATCTGTCATCTGTTCCCATTTGACCCATCGGCTGTATAAAAAGGAACAGCCAGGGGTCAAACAGATCAAACGTTTTAAGTTTTAAAATGGTTTTAGAAAATAATAGCTACAATATTTAACCTGTGTAAATTTTAGAAAAATGTCCTTGTATATAAATTTGTTATGGCATTTCGAATAAAATATTTATCAACAGAGGTCGAATAACTATTAAATTTTTAATTTAATTTTTTAGACTTAATATACTTTCTTTTTATTTACACATTTGCCAAAGACTTAGTTGGTTCTTTTTACCTTACTCGTATGTAAGCTTCTATAGAGATTATATAAATGGTAATTGTTTTAATATAATAAATAAGAATGATTTTTCTTTAATATTGAAAAATAAAAATTTATATCAACGGTGAGCAAAAATAATAATATACTCTAAGAGAAAAAACTAAATAACAAGAAACTACAAGGATATTTTGAATAGTCGTTCTATAACAGCCCTGAGCGTTCTTCATATTTAAAATGAATAATTTTTTAATACGATTTTTTTTAATATGAAAAAAATAAAATGAAAATCCTATGCATTAGTGAGCATAAATAAATAAATTTCATACACGTTTCAAAATATCGCAAATTCTATTGATCTCCACAGGGTGCACATCTTGAAATAATGGAACCGAATATAAAAATCTAACATTCTCCTCTTGTTCTTGCCTTCTGGTTCCAATCATAATTTTGCTATACATAGTTCTTTCCAGGGTCCATACTGTTGCTGGTGTCGTTACTGAAATTATTACAAATATTAAATAAATTAGTTTGTTTAAAAAACACACTGATTTAAATTTGAATAAGTTATTGCCACCAGGTCGATAAAATTATTGTTAAATATTTTTTTTGTAATTTCACCTCTGATTGAAGCAAATCTTCTTGCTTTGTACAGAATTGCAAGCTCTCCAAAAGCAACTCCAGGACCAAAAATTTTAACAACTTTGCCATCTTTTATTACTTCGAAATTTCCAGTAGCCGATACATATAAATTCGATCCTGCAAATTCGAAATTACATTAAAATAATCTTAAATTAATATAATTAACTTCCCGTAGGGTACATTATGGTAATGGTAAATAAATACAAAATGAAATTTTCAAAAGTTCTGAATTTTGGCGCGTTTCTGAAAAATTAAGATAGAAATAAGATAAGATACGAACTTTTTTAACCTCAAAGAAATAATACCAATTAGAAAAGAATAAAAATACTGACTTTGTTTAGGAGGCGTACATTAATCACGTGATGTTTTTAGGAGAAGGGGGATATTTGGTGAGGAAGAGGGGGGTTAATTTTGAATATCACCACGTATCACCAAGGGGGAGGGGTGGTTCAAAAATCCTTAAAAAATTGATCACGTGATTAATACTTCCATTTGATTAAAAAGAAATACAGTGGTACCCCGCCTCGAAGCAAATTTTTCATATAAATACATTGAAATGCTACTAATTCGTTTCAGCAAAGTGTTTTTTTTAATAAGGCGGGGTACCACTGTACTAATTTTTCAGATGTTTAGAAGTATTTAAGATTAATTTGCTTGGTAATCATACAACTCATAAAAAATAATCCAAATATAAAAATATAAAGTAGATTGTCTTATAATAATTATTAAGACTCACCAACTTCTCCTTCATTTATAACATAGCTATTAGCATCATAATGCTGTGATGTCATTGCACTTATTACTCGTTCCAATCTATCATCGTACATAATATTCTTTAAAAAATCGTTGTTTAATATTGCCATTTCAATTAATTGACGAGTTCTGTAAAATAAAATTATAATTTATTGTGGTACATATTTGCAACAAAAATCAATATAAATGCTGCAATATAATTTGCTTATACCGGATTCTATCACAACCACGGCCAGCTCGATATCAAGCAGTAAGATATCAAATTTTCACTTCAGGTTATAGATATCAAATATAATTTCAAGTGAAAATCGTCTTTTGTGGATGTTACTATCTAGTATACATATATAGTCTACAAAAGAGTGTTTGACCGCTAGGTTGCTCTCTCGAGATAAATACTAGATTTGAGGATAGCATTAGACGTCAATTTTGATGAGTGAAACAGCAAGGAAACAAAAATTTTGTTTAGTTTTTATAAGCATTTGTAGAAATTTGGATGATGAAAGCAAATTCGTTATTTGCTTCTCATTTATTTTGCCATAAAATATAATACTACTCTGCTTAATTATTTTCATACTTGTAATCTTTTTCAACATAATCCAAAGAAATATTGTCCAGATTTTCTTCATCGTCAACTGGTGCAGATAAAACTCCAGCTTTACGATTCGGTCTTATAGAACTGTTGTCACTGTCGTCATCGTCTTCTCCTTGAACAAAATCTGATACTGTCATGTCCTAATAAATAACAGAAATATACTTTCATTGCTTTGAATGGGAAAAACATGATTTTATAAATTTGATAAAATAACACGTTTAATTATAGTTCATTTAAATTTAAACATAGACCTGCTGGTCCTTCTAAATTGTTCAAATCCATTTGTGAAAAATCTCGATCTTGAATTTAAATCATATTTCCAGGGTACCAAAGTTACCAATACGGCATTATCAAGAACTTTCCAAACCCAATTTTTTTTGTAATGTGCATGTATTTTGAAAATCTCATTAAAGCTCTAAAATTAAGCTAGTTTTAAAAGCTCGTGTATTAAAATAAAAAAAAATTTAAAAAAAAATATCTATATCTATAAATTTTTCATGACAAAACTAAGGGTGCAATGAAGAGATTTACCTTTACAGTTTTACGAGAACCTGGTAAACATCGCAAAGTCATTAAAATTGATTTATCATATAAATATGTGTTAGCTATCCATAAAACAAACATTAATTCATAATTATAATAATTGACATGGCTTACTTTTTCATGTTTTTTATTATGATGACTCCAACTTACACAGAATGATTTATACATTCTTCTTAAACATTTGTTTTAGTTTAATACTCTTTAAAACAATTCAATATGTTTGACAGAAACATTTTTAATATTGTTTTTATTGCATATATTTAAGTTTACGTCAAATTAAAATTAATTTTAGGAAATTTGTATTGTCTAATTGCCATAAAACATGTATAAGATAAAAATGAACATAACATAATGAACACACACACACACACACACACACACACACATATATATATATATATATATATATTAAATGTAATGTATTGCTGATTTTAGTCAATGGTGAAAGTCCAGCAAACAATTTAGAAAATAATCAGAAATGTCTCAATTAGCTATTTTCTAGGATTTGTCAGTATTTGAAGACCGATTTTTCAAGGAGCATATTATGTAATACCAAAACCGGTTTTTAGTAGAAAATGCCGGTTTTCAACGTATCAAACTTTAAAAAATGACAATAAGAACATTGTATATATATGATAGTCGTCCTTCGCTTCACTATTAAAAAAAAACATTTACACTCTTATATCTAAAATTTTTGCACAAACAACGAATAATGGTTTTTAAAGCTATTTAATCCTGATCAATCATTATTTTTTTGTTCTTCTAAATTTCATTAAAAAACTATTATAATTGAATAGTAAATTTTAATTACTCGAAAATTCCTGTAATTTGAATAATTCGAATAAATGGTTTTTTTAACAGACCATAGAAAACCGGTTTTTCAATAGTACTTTTTTAAAAAATGATTTTAACCGGTTTAAAAAAAGATTATTATTTAACAGCCTTATCATTTACCTTTTTAGAAATGCTACTAGATGGCGAAGTACTCATGTCCACAGATACAGATTTCGTAGACCCTATCAAAGACGACTTTTGTGATGAGTTTGTGATGCTAGTTTTCATCCTTACATCTTTATCTGATACCTAAAATCATAATATAAAAATTTATCATAATTAGCTATTCTAAGATTATTTAAAATATGTTAATAATTTAGAAAATACAATTTTATATTTTTACCTCACTTTGTGATTCCATACTTGTTTTTGGTAATGTAAGCGAATCTTGTTTTTTTCGATAATCATACTCAACGCTTTCTTGGGACATTCTGTGCAAATCTTCTTCTTCCTAAATGGAAAATGAAAAATCATCAGAAACTAAAATTGCAAATATGCAATTGTTTATCTGATAAGAAATTTCATGAAAATCTTAAAATTGTTAAAGATATCAGTAAAATCTCATAGGCATATACCAATTTTCAATAAAACTAGCAGTATAAATTGGACTAATGGATCAATCGACACTACTCATGAAACTACATTGAAATAAAAACAACATTATCAATTTATGTTGGTTTTCTTACTTTGGCAATGTTCAAAAACGAATTTCTCTTTGTATCCTGAATAAAATCTTTAGGATCACGTGCTTCAAATGACACCCTTTCATTGCTGCTTCTATTTGGTGGAACATCAGTCAATTTTGCTTCTAAAAATGAACAACCATGCATATCAGGGTATTGGATTTTGGCTACGGATTCCCTGCTGACTTTCTTGAACACGATTTCTGGTTGCCTAAAATTAGAAGATACGTTTTGAAAGAAATCAGAATACATCCACTATCATAATTTATCTTTTAAATAGCATCTTTCTATTTAGATCTTTTTCAACTTACTTATTATCTTCATCGTCCGAATTATTTTTATCAATCTCTATATCAGGAATGTATGCAGTGGCTCTTCGAGTTTGTTTTTCAGCTCTAAGTTCTGTAAATCAAAATTGATATAAATTAAAAAAAAAACAATATTTAAAGTCATGAAATTCAGGTTCAACATTAACCTGTTCATTCCTTACAACTAAATATTATATAAAATGTATATATTATATAAAGGTAAAAAGGAATAGAAAATGGCCAATGTACCAGATTATAAGGTCCTTAAAGCAATAATAAACTAGTGGTGTATGGCATCGTTCTTTAAGGCAAATTGCTCGAACTTCCCGTACCAAATTAAAATTTTGAAAATCCGAATTATTTTCGATATTCAAAAAAATTTTTTTTGGAAATAAAAAAAAATTGAAATATTTTGTTTTGTTTTCCCAAAAACAATCGTTTGGTCAAACAAGCAGAAATTTTTAGGAATCATTCAAATCGAATGCTTAGTTCTCTCAAAAACTGCCATTTTTTGCACATTTGGCTCCGTATCTCCGAAACGGACGCAACTGCCTTGCCAAAAACTAGTCACCACTTCTCCCCATCATTACAAATTGAATGTGTTTAGGATAATTGAAATCGAATTCTCCGTTCTCTCAAAACTCGATTTCTATTCTCTGCAGTTTTTCCTCCGCAACTCCAAAACGGCTGTACCGACTTTTACCAAAAACTAATCAGCACATCTCCCTATCAATAGGAATCGAATGTTTTTTGATCCATTCATATCGGTTGATCTCTGCGCTTGAAAATATGGACAAAAAATTGGGAACACACAAAACACACACACACATCCATTTTTTCTGAGGTATGCCAAAACGTTCAGAAACCTTCAAAACGTGAATATATGCAAAAATTTTCATTTTTGATTTTCTGCCCATACTTAACAATACAAGTTAATTATAAGGTCAAATACATCATATTTAGTGGATAAGTATTTTTAACAACTCTTCTGTGAATGAAGCATTGACGTTGCCATGACAACACTAGGTTATTGCCTATTTTACCAAAGAATTGGCCTCGTAGTAATATCTAAATACAAGAAATAATACCTTCTACATGTTTGATATGTTCCTCCTTTTGTCGACTGAATTGACGATTGTATAGTCTATTGCCTTCCTGATTTCGCATCACTGGTGGTGCAGAGGTGTTACCATTTTGTTGGACTACAGGGCCTTGAAGTTGGAATACCTTAAGAAAAATGATATTGAACTATTAATATTAAACTATACATTTTACATCTAATATATTTGCTTACATTTATATAAAATTAAATAATCTATATGATTTTATCCTTACTGTTATTCTTCCTTCAGGCACTTTGTTTTCTTGAACTTTGATATGTTTTAGGTTATATTTTCCTTTCACAAATGAGAACGGGTTACAACTAGGCATCTTGTTTAGAACTGTTAAATAGAAATATGCAGAAATCATTAATAAATATATAATAAATATATTATTCATATATAATTCACAACTTACAAAAAAAGATTCGATTAATATTCAGCAAAAGATTTAGGTAAAATATAATTCAAGATGACTAAACTATGGGTTAGTCTGAACAAAAAATATTTATTTTGATCTATTTTTTAGACTTTTCAGTACATTCTGAAAAAAATAGTGATAACTAGAAATCAGTGTGAATGTTCCAATTTAGTTTTACTTATCAAGATTATAAACTAAATAAAAGTTCTTTAAATTGAAACAAAAAAAAAAAAACAGTTATGATCTTGTAACTCAAATTATATTTAATTATGTAACTATTAGACGTTAAACTTTTAGCAATCTTGACATTGTATTTATGTGCGATTTTATTTATTTGCTTTAATAGTATCTTATCGCGGCATTAGAATTAACAAATTTATATCCCGTTAAGCTCATATTATTTTTATCTTGAATATTTACGTGTATATAAAAATATTAACGTTCATGTCAATATTGGTATAAAGTTATTGAGTAGAAATTTTTATTATTAGATTACCTACAATTTGTAAAAGGTATGTAGTAAAAATTCATAATTCGCATTATTTCAGGAAAAGCTACTTCAAGAAAATTCAGTAACCAATTGAAATACTTTCTATAATAAAAATAAAAATTTAACTTGCAAATTTTAAATTATACTACTATTCATAATAATAAATCATTTATAATTTCTCTTATTAATACGTTAACTATAACAAGAACTCTTTATTATTTCGAATTTACATTTGCCATGTAACTTTTATATTAATAATTTGCTTTGTTTTACAATTATGTTACCTTGATAATTGTCAAACTGATAAAATGAATGAACAATGTTATTTTGATATGATAGATAAAAATAATTTCAAGGAATTTGTCATGTTTTAGGTTTGTAGTTCTTATCATAAAGTTCTGGTTCTTTTACATGTCGATCAAACAAATAAACTTCGTAATTAATTATTTAACTTAACTAGTTGTGCATGGCATCGTGCCTTAAGGCAAATTGTTGGAACTTTCCGCACCTAAAATTAAATTTTTAAGAAAAATTCAATCTTCTTTTAGAACTCTGAAAAAACCGATTTTTCAGATTCTAAAAAGAATGTTCTAAGAGTGAAATAGGAATCAGGTAGGATTTAAACAGAACTAGTAACGATCTTATAGGGGGTGCCCATTAATCACGTGAGGTTATTGGGGGGAGGGCAGGTTTGACAAAAAATCACTAGATATTACGTTGGGGATTTATTTATTACGTGCATTTATTTTTACCTCATTTTTTTAAAATTCAAACATTTTTTTAAAAAATTTAAAATTAAAAAAAAATTAACTAAAAACACACGTGATATTTTGTGGGGGAGGGGGGATAATTTTGAATATCACCAGGTATCACCAAGGTAGAAGGGGGTCTAAAAATCCTTGAAAAATCGATAACGTGAATAATGAACGCCCCTTATAAAATTTTTGTAAGAATCTTATTAAAAATCCTACTATATTTAGAATCGAGTACCAAAGCATTGGCTGAATAATAATTAAATAATATGGTTTACATAACTATATCTATATAATAATGGTTTAATAATTCAGTAGTATTGTGCGCGCGTTACAATTCACAGAGATGTTAATTGATGCAAAACTCTTATCTTAGAAATAAATGTTTCGCTGTTGTTTACACAATTGTTTCCGTTAATTAAAAAGAATCAAATGTGTTAACGTTTATAGCCCGTTCGTGACTTGAATATTAACTTTACATTACACATTATACAAATTTTATATTATGTATTCTCTCAGCCAGGCCTTGTATTCAAAGGCAATTAACTTGCACATTAATGGCTGCAAATGAAGTGATACATGTTGTAATTAATAATTAACCACATCATCTTTTTGGTATGAACAGTCTTCCATGTGTGTATGAGTCCATGTAGTCCTCATACGTTTTACGTTTTAGGGGACGTTCATTAATAACGTGATGGATTTTTTAAGGATTTTTGGACCCCCCTTTCCTTGGTGACCCTAAGTGATATTCCAAATTATCCCCTCCCTCATCAAACATCACGGGTACTTTTAGTTACGAGCAAAAATTGAAATTTTTTTATCTTTTTTTAAAAATGTTTTGATTTTTAACAAAAACTCAGGTAAAAAATAAATACATGTGATACCTTACTATACCCTTCCCTAGCACAAGTGATACTTCATGATTTTTTGTCAACCCCTCCCTCCCCAAAAAACCTCACTTGTTTAATGAATAAATAACTTATATAGTTTTCAAACATATAGGGGAATGTGACGTCACATGTCTGAGCGAACATTGCCGACGACAATCGCGGACTCTTCCGATTGATTAATGGTCATAAGTCATTTTAATAATTTTATGGCAATTGTGATGGGATGAAGTCTTTCGTTTTTGGTAATTTTAGATTTTGCAAAAAAAAAATCTTGAATAAAATCTAGTAAGCCATGGTCTATGGTCACCTTATGATCCCAATATTGAAATAAGCTGAATATAGATATATAGCATGTGATATATTGTGATACAGCTAATGCTTCGAAATAAAATATAAATTTATTTATAGTTTTACAGTTTCGAGAGCACAATTTGCATCATCAATCATCTAAAAAATAAAAGAGTTCAATAGTTTAATAATGAGTTTTTACTTACGTCAAAATGCTATATATTATCAATACTACTACGCAAAAATTCAAGAAATGAGTCACTTCATGATAAATATTTTATTGCCTATATTGATAATTTTATAGCACGTAAAAAATTACGCGAAACTATTTATTTTGTCTTCAAACTTTTGTCTTCTATAAATAATTAAATATTCAAGAGTTTGTAAACTACAATTTTGAGATAAATGTTGGAGTATTCTAATACTAGTGACTTGCATTATTCATTTATTGTGAAAATTTAATTATGTGATAAAATTGATAAGGAATTTTTTTGATTATTATTCAGGATAATTTTGTTCATCCTCAAAAAGTCATTTTTATAACTGTATAATGTACTACATATAAGCTTCAATATACAATTAATATAAATTATGGTTCAATTATATGAGTACATTATCTTTGTACTTATCTTTCAAGACAGTTATAAAATAGCACGACTAAAAAAATTACGTATGTGGAATAATTTTGCGCAAAAGAATATAATTTTGATAAAAATACAATGTAAATGATACATTTTTTTCTGGATTCATCAAAAGTTTTCCAAGGAAAGCAAACAATCATATTGGTGAAAAATATGCAATTGGTTTGATTTGTTTAAATATATAAGCGATATAGAAAATTCGAAAAAATTAGATTTGAACTAATACTTAATTATAACTGAAATCCAAAATATTACAAAAGAATAAAATAGTAGTGAGGCAAAATATCTCCCTCCCAACTAATTTTATAATACTGTTGACAAAAAAAGAATATATAGTGCGCTATATAATTATCTAATACAATAAAATTGTAATAAAAAAATGTATATGAGTATTGTATACAAAGTTTAAAAAATAAATAATAAAAAAATAGTACTAAAATCTAATAATTTTGAGCTTATGCCAACTTACTTGCTGCTCAATTCGAATCTCATTTCGACTTTATTAAAAGTATGGTTATTAAAGTAATTTTTACGAAATAGAGATTTGTGTTATGAGGGTCAGTCAAAATTAGGGGTATATGTGTGAATTATAAAAAATTAAAAAAATGGTCTAATCACTAAAACAAAAAACTTAAGGGTGGCCAACTCTTACCACTAATGGCATAAAAAATAGATGTTGGCCAATGCTCAGTAACATTGAAACTTGAAATAAAATCGGTTAAGCCGTTTCGGAACACTATTGTGACAAATACACACACACACACACACACATATATATATATATATATATATATATATATATATACTTTAGATTTTTTGTTCGCCATTGAAACATATTTTTGAAATGTATATTTTGTAAATGTAAAACAAAAAATACACCATTACAGTGGAGTATTGCTACAAGGTTTTAAAAAATTGCAAGATTACTAGAAGATATAACAAATAGAAATACGATACATGAATGTAATTCTATATATGTATTAGGGCAGGTCAATTTAGAAGTCACTTAGGCACATATTATTTTCGGATTCAAGGGATCAAAGAAAGATATTTTGCTGAAGAAACCATATCTCTAAAATAAATTCAGATGTCACGTGCATTGACCCAAAGATAAGGGTTACATTTTGAAAAACTTTTGGGGAGGCCATACATTTGGATGCAATTGGGCCACTCTAAATGCATCAAAATGAGTTTTTTTAAATTTCAACCCTTATTTTGGGCCAATGCACCGGACATCATAATTCATTTTAGAGACATGGTTTCTTCAGCAAAGTATCAAAGTATTTTGATCTCATGAAAATCATATGTGCCTAAGCGACTTTTTTGACCCATGCAAATCGATCCACTATAATATATATATATATATATATATATACACATATATATATATATATATATATACATAAGTAATTCATATAGTCTTACCTTTAATCTATTTTATGTATTTGTTCCTGATTTTTGTTCTATTACATTCACAACAGTTTGCACTACTTAAGGATCATATTATAATTTTGTAAACAATTTATTTGTTACAGCACATTGTGATAATAATAACTTCTGTAAAATCCCTTTGAACACTAGATATTATTTTGTATATATATATATATATATATATATATATATATATATATAAATCACCACAATTGTTAATTTATACACTGTTAACCTATTTATTTCGCACAATTTGTATAGTTAATCTAATTTTCATATGTACGCATACGTGTGTACAAATATCATATTCATATATATATATATATATATATATATATATATATATACAATATATGTATGTATGTATTTCTAATTCCACGTACAATTAGTTATAACCAATGCACACCGAGTGTATCAATAGACTAGTTATCATTTACTGAAAATGACATTATATAAATTTACACGGTCACAATTCACAAAGGTACATTATTATTTCCACAGTATTATATTTATATGAATGTGTGCGTTCAGGTGCGTATAAATATTATACATACAGCGCAAATTATTTCAGGAGTGATAACGCTATCAACGAAACAGTATAAAAAATATGTCATTGTATATTTATACATTGATATATATATATATATATATATATATATATCATATTTATATATATCATATCATTTATGTATATCATGTAAATACGATCACTTCGTATTATGACGAATAATGAATGGGTGTATGTGATTATTTGCTTTAAGGGGGGAGTCTGCTTTAGAAGCTTTTTAAAAATCGTTTTTTTTTGCAAAAATGTCTTCTAAAACTAGCTAAGAATAATCCCTTAAATTTTAGAAACAAATTTAAATTATGTTTTTAATTTTTCGATTCGTTCTAATTGGCGGAAAAGATACCACAAAAACTGAACGTTCTATCGAAACGAGACAAAATTGATTGTATTCAGGATTAAATTCTATTCTAGTTGAACCTAAAAAAAATTAAAAAAAATTATAATTAACCCACTTTTTAAAAAATCTAAAGTGAAATGTTGTATTAAAAAAAAATTTTTCTTTTAAGTTGCAAAAAATTGGTGAATTTCTCACTTTTTTAGATTTTTTATAAGCTCAGTAGTGCTCAGTAGTTTTTTATAAGCTTCCGAACAATTTGTGAAAAAAATCGAAAACATAAAAAAAAGTTATAAATTTTTATTGAGACTGTCCCTAATTTGTAAAACAAATTGTTTTTTATATAGTTCATATAAATGCGACACTATTCTTAATTAATAATATTATATTATCAATATTCTTTTAAATTATTTGGAGGGATATAATTATAGGTATGGTCACGTACCAATTTGCTAATATCACCCACATCATCACCTTCTAGAATTGCATATTTTAAAAATTTTAGAATAAAATTGTCAAATTTTGACTCGATCCATTTTTCCATTCTTTGATGAAGTTTTATAATTACACCTCTTTTTGTAGACCATTGTATTAGTTGTACTATTTTAGGATTTCTGTTACAACTATGAGCTTTAAAAAATATCAGTTTAGAATCGTGCTGATTAACTTTTAATAAGACCTAAAAGGAGTTTCTTCGTAATCATTGAAAACAAATTTTTAACGATTTTGTTAAAGTTTGTAGTGTGAGCTTATAGTCTTAACGAACATCCTAAAATATTATAGGCATACGAAAAGTGAGTAAATTATAAAAATTCATCCAAGTTTGAGATGATGGGCAAAAACGACCGCTTTGCCATTATCCCAATTTTTATTGTTTTCCCACTTATTAAAATATATTTTTTATATATTATATTCTATAATTAAAGTAAAATTTTTTCAATCGGTTCTATTAAAAATAAAATTTCTGGAATAAATGCAAGAAAAGGCACATTTATGCAGAAATTCTATATTTTAAATAAAAACTTTTCTTTGTAATGTAAAAAAGTTGAAAAACTACTGAATTATTTTCACTATCACACTGAAAATATTATTTATAGCATTCAAGCGTTTATCTTTAAAATTTAATGTCACAAGCGCGCATATATTTATTCCCCTTGTACATTTATTACATTTCCGAAGTTTTCAACATTGCTGCAAATTTTCCATTCTGTGAATGACGAAGCACTTCTGGACGATCATTTTCAATAATTTTGCCGTTTTCCAGAACGATAACTCTATCGAAATCCATTATAACAGACAGACGATGCTAAAAAAAATTATGAATGAAATTTTATAAACTAAATTTTAATGTGCCATGTACTTACAGCTATGCAAATGATTGTTCTATCGTGGAAAGTTTTCCAGAAATCTTTTAAAACAATTTTTTCAGTTTGGGGATCCACTGCACTTGTACATTCATCTAAAACATAATAAATAAATAAATAAAAAATGAAAAAAAATCTGTGTAGGTAATAATTCGATACTGTAAATGTATTTTTATATTCAGAGGCATTTATGCCTTATATTAAAATTGATAAAAAATGAATATTTTCAGAGCATTGAATTGCAAACTAGGTAATTTTCATATTTATCATTAGTAAAAGGTACGCGAAAAAATTAATATTTGTGCAATACTTCATAAATTTATGCTATATAAATCTAGAAAAAAAGGAATCTAGTGAGAATCCAATAAGAATCCCATGAAAGTCTTACAAGAATATAGAAGATAATGGCAATTTTCAGTCAGAAATTTAAGACACAATTTTAAATTTTTATATTGATTTAGGTATATATAAATCCACTTCTATATTAATGTAGTTCTATACTAATTGTATAAGTACTTTGGAGACTTCCGATTTTAATCGTATATTCAAGAGGATTTAAAAATTCCATATAGTCGTTGAATTGATTTAATAGATTTTTAAGAAATCTATATGTATAAATCCACTACCAAATATTATAAAAATAATATATTATGTTATTACCTAATATAATAGGATATGTAGATTTCCATTTTGCTTTTAAGGCTACTCTGGCTAGACATATTAATTGCCTCTGGCCATGACTTAAAGATCCACCTTCTGTTGATATTTCATTATCTGTAATATCAATTTATTTATTCACAATCCGTAAAATAAATAAGTATTCATTTTAAATGTTTACCTAAACCGCCAGGAAATTCTTCTATAAAGTTTTTCATTTTTACTAATTCTAAACAACCCCATATTTGTTCATCTGTATATTCACTAAAAATATAATAAAGTTTTAATACCATATTATATCTAAAGTCTAATAACATTTAGTTTATAACTTTGTTTGTTGTATTGAAATATTTGATTGAACCATACTTTTAGAACAATAAATTAAACAAAATGTGAGAAACTGCTTTTAAATGTAAAAGTTGATTTCTTACCCTTTTGGATCTAAATTATGCCGAAAACTGCCAGAAAACAAGGCACCTTCCTGTGATACACAGCACAATTTATCTCGAATTTCAGTAAACTTTTGTTTATCTAAATTTGTTAGGTTTACATTGCCTAACATAATAGCTCCTTGGGTTATTTTCATCAGCCCAAATAATGATAAAAATAGACTAGATTTTCCACTAGCTGTACGTCCACACACTGCCAACTGTTGATTTAAAATTTTAGGAGTTAAAGTTAGATATCCAACAATAGTAAAAGTAACATTTATTTTAATTTTTTTTAAATTAAATATCTGCTAACCTTTTCCCCAGGTGCTATGACCAGATTCAGATTTGTTATTACTGCATTAGACTGTAGATGGTGATGCAGAGTTACTTTGTTGAATATGATTTGATACAAAGAACCTGAAAAAATATTTAAAAAATCTAGTATGCAATTCGGTGTAAGTAACATTTTGCTTTCGTTCAAAAATCAATCAATTAAATTTTATAGAATCTAGAAAGAATCCAGAAATAATTCTATAAGAATCTGGCCAGAATTCAACAAAATATGGTCAAAGCCTAATAAGAATATGGCCAGAATAGACTTTTATCTGAGCCTAGAAAGAAGAATACATCCCATACCTTCTACATTTGAGTTCTTTCTTAATTGAACAACATCCCCATCATATATTTTGTCATTTTCTTCTAAATATATCTTTGAAGCTGAGTTTTTCTTATCAAAATTTTCTTCCGGAATATCGTCCTGAATTTTCTTCAGTTGACTTTTCGGATCATATTCAATATCTTCCTCTGCATCATCGCAGTAAATTTTAATCCTGTGTACAGCATTTGCACTAATTTCCACTTCGGAAATAAATCTTACTACCCAATTCAAATACATTGGCGCCAGCAAAGTGCTATTTAGAGCAAAGCCAGCTATCGAAGAATTTTCACTTTCGGTAAAATATAGGGCAGTCAAGGCAGATGCGAAAACTATGAAACCTCCTAAGCAATCCTTCATAAAATAAAAAATAATTCATATTAAAAAAATGTTATTTATTGACTGGTATTACAGAACCAAAGAATTATTTTAGATTATTTTAATTGTACACTTACCAGGGCAACACCCAGCCATCTAGCACTAGTGTCCAAAAGTAATTGTGAATTTGTATTGTCATCAAGTTTGAGAAACATAAGTCTTGAAAATTCTTTAGATTTCGAATATATTCTTATAGTCTGTGCTCCTCTGCATGTATCACTGAATAAAGTGAAAATGGGCGATCTGGATAAACTTTCCAGTCTCTGCAATTCTCTGAGAAGATGATAAATAAAATTTCAACATTTTAATTAATTTTAGAAAAAAAAATTATATTTTTTTAAATTTTTATTATCCCACCTGGAAGATCTTCTATAGAATTTCTGCACGGCGTAATAAGCAGTGCCAATAAATATTGTTACAACTAAAAACCATAATGACACTATACAGTTAACTAATATGGCACATAAACAAAGCAGCAGGAATTGTACCAGACGTTGTATAGACGAACATAATTTCTAAAAATTGATAAAAAAATTATATTAATCCATCATAAAATCATGTGTATCTATATATGTACATATATTAATCTATATTGATAGAAAAATTAATAAACTATTAATTGAATTTACCTTATCTATGACACTCATGTCGGTGGAGAATCTATTAATTGTGCTTCCGATTTCACCATAAATATTGTTATCTTTAAGTACGGCCGTCGTTAAATACTCGTGAATATTACTACGGGCCACCAATCCGGCCCATTGTCCAGAAAATGCACACAGCAATGACACCAGGGCACATATTGCTGATTGGTAACAGTATGTTGATAGAAGTGAGAATGCTTTCTAGAAATCATAATAGAAACAAAATTAATTCTCTGAAAATTTTAGAAAAAATTGTTTGATATTCATCTACTATCTCACCTCGTGACTTTGATCAAATCCTTCATATGATTCCATATTTTCTCTGCTCCAGTTTCCTAAGGACATATCAGCAAATAATCTTAATCCTTGCCACAGAAACGCTAGGAATATATACAAAGTGCATATTTTTATACCACAGCATTTTATATAATATAGATAAATATTCAAAGGAATTGTTCCATAAATTCTCTCCTGATTTTCTGCCGTTCTCTGGTTGTAGTTATATTCACTTAATGATGATATCTGATGTGCTAAGGAAAAAGAATCACAGATAAAATCTAATTTCAAAAAATATGAACAAATATATATATATATATAAATGAATAAATGTTTACTATACTTTCACAAGAAGCTAGGTCGTTTAAATCGACTGTTATATCAGATGCATCAGACATTAATCGAGAAATTATTTTGTGCCGATTAATTTCTTTGCTCCTGTTCGATCGTCTGCAAAAAAACAAATTACACATTAACGTATTTATTATTACTAAAAATAATATTTGTATAGTTATCATTTAATACCTGAAAGATAATCGATCTGCCAGCCTTCTAAAGATATTTCTCTGTTCTCCACTTTTATTATCGCTCAGAGTTTTATTCACATTTTGAGTTTTCGATAAAATTTGACGAAGTATGTTACTTGCATGAGGTGAATCGATTGTATGCCTTTTAGATCTTCTGAAACATATATGGAAAATAAATTAATTTATCAGATTTCGTTGTTATGGCGGACGATAAATAATCTTACATATCTTCATGCCCATTAGGTTTTTCGGATATTTCTTCCATATTTGGTAAATTACCAAAATTATTCCTAAATATCCTCGAATTTCTATGTCTTTGACTTTGCAAGGATATTGCTCGAGCTGTAGGCTTGTGAGAATAACAACTGCGTATTGATGAATTTCTCGTTAGTAAACCTAAAAATTTATTGAAATGGTATTATCAATTAATTTAAGTATTATATGTTTTATTAACATACCATCATTGCTTTCAGTTAATTCGTTCCAAAGTAAAGGTAAATCAAAACTTAAACATGGATCATATGCGATACTGGAGCGAGTACTTCTCGGTGGTGTAAACTCTGGTCTCTAAATAATTCATAACCGTTATAAAAAATAAATGAAAATAAAACTTATATTTGCTAGTAAAATATTACTGAAACCTAATTTGTAGTTGGAAAGTTCCTAGAGTCTTGAATTAGATTGAAATATTACAAAACCCCACAAACCCCAAGCGGATTCTTGATAGATTTTAATGAGGGTCCAATTTTAATTTTACTAGATTCCAGACAAATAAACTAGATCCTTACGAAATTCTCAGGAGATTTTCGCAAGATCATCTCTAAATTCTTATGAAATTTTACTAATACTAATTTACTAATTTTAATCTACTAATTTTATTAAAATTACCAGATTCCGCTCTAACTAAATTTTTATTGAGTTTGTACTAGATTTTTGTTAAATTCTTATTGGGTTCGAGATTGATTCGAACTCAGTTGTAACTGAAATCTAAAATATACAAAATAATAAAATTATACTGAAATCTAATTCAAAGTAGATTCCAAGTAAATTGTAACCAGATTCCAACACTTATTAAGATTTAGTGCTAGTGCTAGTAATTATATAAAATTAAAAAAAAATGGTGTAATGAGCTGTGCTTTTAGAACACACAAGCACGTGCTTGTGCACTATAATTAATATAATTTTAATTAGATAATAGATAATAATATATAGTTTGTATATAATTTGCAGAGACTACATCAGTGATAAGACAAGCAAGCAAGATGTGGTATATTTATTAAATGTCGGGGAACATTTATGTAATATACGGTAATATTCTCTATTTTTATTGTATTAAATAAACTATACCGTATTCGATATTAAATTAGTTTTCTTGTTAAAATGAAAACTAGCTGAAGTCACCATTCTGCACAGACGCCATCGATCTTTAGCAGTTCTGGAATAAAATTTTTATTCAATATCTGAAATAAAAATTTCGTGTACAGAAATATATTCAACATTACCTTGTATTTTCAGACTTTTCATTTGATAATGAATTTTTCCAAGATTTTGTTAAAATTGGATCTATCACTTCTAACTCCTTCAAGGATCCTACTGCACGAATCTTATTATCTTCTAATGCTATAATCTTATGTAATTAATAGATTGTTAGATTGAAAATCAAGTTTAATCTTAATTATTATATTATTTAAAAGATTTAAAAAAAATATCTTCCTTTTTTTTCGCGTATACAGAAAAAAATGAGTAATATAAGAAGCACACAACCAAATTAAAAGTTATGAAACTTACAAAAAATTATAAAACTCATATAATTTCATTTTATTTACCTGATCAGCATATTGTAGCAATTTTAATTTATTAGTTGCCATTACTACAGTTATATTTTTTCTTAATAAATAGTTCTGTATCGTCGAATCAAAAACTTGTTGGGAGACTTGTTCATCCAAAGCAGAAAATGGGTCGTCCTGGAAAAAATATAAGAAATTTTATTAATTGGAAAAATATAAAAAGCAATATCATTAATGATAATGAGAAATTATAACTATTGATAATTTTAACTAGCCATTGCTAAAAATAATCTACTGCTTGTTAATTGAATAAACGCACATGAGTTTCAAATTAAGTTTACAGAAAAGTAGATCAGAAAATGTACAATTTGATTTTAAAACCAAACTAATACAGAACTTATAATGTCATGATTTAATTGTAATAATTTATTATGTGTAATAAAATTAAGGACAAGACTATGTTGGCAAAAATTACTTACTAGTGCAACAACATTTGCTCCTGAATATATGGCTCGAGCTAAACAAATTCTTTGCTTTTGTCCACCACTTAATGTATTACCATTTTCTCCAATAGTTTGAAGATTACTCTACAATATAATAATAAGATACATGTAAAACTAATTCATATAAATTATTCTTTGATTAAATCTAAAATATTGTTAAATTAAATTAAATTATTCTTAAATTATAATTTGGCATAAAGAATGCTAAGTAAAATGGTTTTCTATATATATACACGAGTATCATTCTATTAATTATTTATGCATAATAATTTTAATAATACCTGTTGAATTTCTGTCAATTCTTTATCCAATGCACATAATTTCAAAACCTTCTTATACCTTTTACAATTTTTATCACGACATAAATGTTGTCCAAACATTGTAATATTCTCCTGAATAGATGCATTCATGAGAAATGGTTTTTGGGCGCAATATGCGATACGTGTATCACTAAAAAATGTAACGAAAAATAAATTATATATATATATATATATATATTAATTATTTGTACTATATTACCTGGCCCATTTCATGGATCCTTGTATTAGAAACATTTCGCTCAAAATTGCGGACATAAAAGAAGTTTTTCCTGATCCTGTATTTCCAACGATTAGAGTCAGTTTTCCTAAGTAGAATAGAAACATATTACATAAATAAAATAATGTTTTTCAAGAGATTTTTTTTAAATGAATATCTTTTCTCACCTTTAGGAATTTCCAGATATGCAACATGCAAAGATATTTCATTTCCCATTAGATTCCAAGAAAATTGACACGAATCTAATTTCAGTGCAGATCCATTATGATCCTCATTTTGATTTTCCAATAGTAGGTTTTTAACCGAAATATTTTTGTCTTTTGGTTTAAAATCTTTTTGTTCTTCACAAATATTAAGGAAAGCATTTTGTAAGTCTGTAATAAAAGTATGGTTGAACTATACGATAGATAGCATAAAGTAATAAATAATTTGTGAATTTACTGTTTGCTTCCTTTAAATTTGAGAATGTGCTTGTCACATCAAATATCTTCTTATTATATTCAGATAATACGTCGATATTTTTTATTAATCTTTTTGAGTTAATATTCTGGAATGAAAATACACATGATAATAGAGTTCAAATAGCTCTAATAAAAAGAGCAGTATTTTGAAAGAACAAATAGCTCGAAACTTGAATTAAACGAAGAATTTTGATGCCTTTCATATTTTTTAGTTTTTTATCTAATCTATTTATAAAAGTATTCCTTAACTAACTAAATACTACTATTGGAGAATAGAAAAACATATGCACAAAAACATATTTTTATTAAAAAATAATTTAATTGTAAAACTCCTGATAGCTCATCAAATACATAGCTTTTTTATAGTTCAACTCATGCGAAGATAGACCCGTAACATAACAATACCATTCCTGTTTTATCCTACTTACATTTTCCTCGTCCTCGGGCAATAAATTTTTGCATTCAATTTTCGATAAATATTTTGCAATACGTTTTGTACTGACTAAGGCAGAAATAGCAACTGGCAAAATAGCTGGAAACATAAATAATGGTACAGCTAACTGATTGAATAATGCAAGAGACGAAAATACTTCAGCAGGTCCCAAATAACTTCCACTTTGATCCTCCAGAAAAGTTGAATTTCCTGATTTGTAATTTGTATTTGCCATTTCATTGGTCTTGGTATTAAATGTAAAGTAAAAACTTAGAAGAAATGATACAGTTGCTATCAGGACAGTGCATAGGTGAGTTAAAAATGCTGAAATTATAAAAATAATCATCAATCTATAAAATCGAGTCAACACTATTATGCATTTTACTTACTCATGAGAGCCCAATATAGAGAATCTTTATTCAAATATTTTAGTTCGTCTTTACGAGAATTATTTAATTTATTTTTAAATATATCGTCCCAAGCATTTATTTTTATTGTCTTCAAATTTTGAATAACTTCAGTAACATTTCTTAACCTTTCATCGCTTTTACTCTGCAATAAAATTAGATAAATAAATTATTCTGAAAAATAAGTTTTGTACAATCAAGTTTGAGAAAATCAACAAATACTTTGAGAAAAATATGAAGAAACTAGTGGGGTGCATGGCATCGTGCCTTAAGGCAAATTGCTGGAACTTCCTGTACCGTAATCAAAAATCTTGGTACGGAACCCAAAAAAATTTACACAGAATGTGTACACATTACTAAAATCTCTATAAAACATCTGATAATTTGATGTACATATGTCCAAATAAACATTTTTGACCGCCAAGTGACATTTTTTTAACTTAATTTCATTGAGAGTCCATAACCGCTGGACCTGCCTTCCCAAAAATTTAATCAGTTCTCCATCTTGTCAATACAAGTAAAATCTCTTTTGAATTATTAAAATCGGACGCTCCGTTCTCTTAAAAACTGAGTTACCGTTTTTGTCACTTTTTGCGCCGTATCTTCGGAACGGCTAGACCTGCCTTCGCCAAAAACTAATCAGCACGTCTCCTTATCAATACAAATCGAATGTTTTTTTGAATTATTCAAATCAGTTGATCGGTGTTCCCGAAATCGTGGACGAAAATTTGTATCCACACACACACACACACTCATACACACATACACACACATACATCCATTTTTTCTAATGTATGCCAAAATATTCAGAAACCTTTGAAACGTAAATAGATAAATAGATAAAAATTTTCATTTTCGATTTTTTGCAATGATTATAACTTGCTCTACGGGACGTTAAAAAACTGATAATGCTATAACTCAATTTTGTAGCAATGGAAAAGCAAGTTCGTATAAATCTTATAATTACATTGAAGTGAAAATTGTATACTCACGAAAGATAATTTTGAATTTTTTGACATAGCTTTGCCAATAATAAACTGCAATGGGGTTACTGTAAAAACGCAGATCAATGCTCCAAAAATTGCACTAACTCCAAGTTGTAAATATAAAAGATACACTAATAAAGTTATCTGAAACAAATATGAATTTTTAATTTTTTTTGTAAAATGATATCAGAAATCTTTTTATTACCTTCAAAGGAATCGCCCATACGTGATGCCCTATACAAATGAAATTCATAACATTTGCAGCGTCTTCTTGAATTAGATTCATAGTTGATCCCAAAACAGTTTTATGTTTTTGGCCTACATCTTCTTGTTTTGCATCCAGAGTTATATTTCTAATTTTGTCAGATTCCTTTTTATTTGAAGACGTCTTCCATATCTTCGGTGTTTTCAAATGATTAATGGTTTGGAATTTTCTTGTATATTTAGATGTTTTATTCATAACTAGTTCATCACTAGATTTTTCATTTTGATTTTCTGTTTCGTTCTGGTTATTTGACAATCTACAATTTCAACAATGATATAAACACAATTTTTGCGAAAAGATTCACATTTTTTATATTCTGATACCTTAATGTTTTTTCATATATCAAAGCTTGCATCGCCACTTTTATCCTGAGTGCAGATAAATTTGCTAAATGTGTTGCAGCTTGTGAAAGCAAACCCTGTAATTCAAATATTAGTTAGAATTGTTTTTTTAGTAATTTTATTTTCATATTTTAGCCATTTACCTGGGCTACTGCGGCGAATAGCACAATAAATGCCATAACATACCCATTTCTAAAAAATTCACCTATAGTTATTGATTCTTCATCTGCAGAAGAATAATACACAGTATTTTTACCGTCGACATGATCTATTATAACAGCTAAACCAAGTGGTCCAATCTAAAATAAAAAAAATTAAATAACTATTGGTATCGTGCCTTAAGGCAAATTGCTGGAACTTCGCGTACCGTAATTAAAGATTCGAAAAATAAAAATAATCAGTCAACAAAAATGTCTATGAATAAATATTATAAAATCTGGAATTTTCATTATTTGTTCCTTGTAGACAAAATGTGAAAACTTATTAGATTAGACGACGTTGTTTATATATGTTTGAATGAAATATAAATAAACAATATCTAATTTAGCGGACTTATTGTTAGAATGAACATATTTTATTTTAAATGCATCAATTTTTCGTTCACTGAGCTAACAATTTTAAATAGTTCATGTAGTATCAACTATACAAACATAAAAAGTATTAAAAAAATTAAAAAAAAGCCATTTTTTACAAATATTTAAAAATGTCGGCAAAAGAATATTGAAATTGCAACATTTAGTTCTTTGTTTGAAAACTCTTGATATTTAATGGTTTTAAATATTATAATCACTTGTGAAATTCTAAAAGAACGAAAAACTAAACAGTTTTTCACATTGGTAATGGTTACCATTAATAACTTTTTTAATTGTATAACTTACCAAAGCCGCAACATCGCCAAAAAACTTCAAAACTCCACTCAATAAAAATGTTTTCCAAATTAATTTTAAATAGCACTTCCAAAGCGTTGCGTTTGCCTTTAATATAAATGTTCACTATTTAATATATCAAAATACATTCATATACAAATAATCTATATACATCAAATCATTTCAATTACCTTAATTTGAAAATTATCATTGTCCAATATCCGAATAATTTTCTCAAAAATCTTCGACGAACTCTCTTCCGGAGGTAATACTCCTAAATTTTCAAATTCCAACGGAGTTCTATAGCCGTCTCTTAATAATGATGTCAAGAACCAAAAACTTGCTCTAAGGTACATAGACTTTTTATGAAAAGTATTATCAGTAAATATAAAACATTATTGAACAAAAAAGTGCATATATATATTTATTTTATAAAAAAAGGAATGAATATATGAACACACCTGGATAGAAATGTCGCCTTATTATATTTATAAGCAATATGGCGTTCGTGTTCAAATGGATTTTCGCCATGTTCATCTTCTTCTATGTAATAGGTATTTCTTTTAATAAACTGTAATAAAAAATTAAAATAAATTATATTTTATGTTATACTTGACTATTTTAAAATACACCCACCTCGGAAATGCCTGTATATAAATCTAAAATAAAAATAAATATATAAAATATTGTTACAACAGCATCAAGCATTGGCAATAAGAATTTTTGGCCATTCAATAAAAGTTTATTATTCATTGTTTGTGTAACCATCCATAAACATAGAATTAAGTACATACTTGCGCTTGCCAAAAGCCATTTGTATCTACCTAAAACATATGAAATATAAATATTATAATGTACAGACATGTGCATGGTATTTATAATTATGATATATACCTCTATTTCTAGTTTTATCTCTATTAATCTCTATTAATCTACTACAAATGTTGTATCCTATGATTGCTAGAAGGCCCAAGATGGGTTTACCAATGGACAATGTAAAGGACCATTTGTTTCTGTTTTTGGCTTTATATTTATGGGATAATATTGCTTCTCCTAATGCAAGGCACCAAGTTATGGATATAAT